ATCGGTATCTCCACGTGGATGTTTCGAGCACTCAGCAAGCTGGAAGCTTGAGACGCTGTTGTTGGTTGGGGTCGTTCTACCGGCGCCGTGCCCGCCCTTGGCCGAGCGGGTCGTTCTTTGCCAGAAGAGCCCCTGTTGTGCCTTCGCCGATGGGTCGCGCTATTCGACGAGGAGAGAGGAGAGGCCGTTCATGTTGGCGCGCCGATGCTCGAGGAGGTGATGGTTGTCATCTAGCTCGTCTAGCTCCGATGTGCAGAGGGCTGTTGGACATGTTCGTGCCGCCGTCAAAGAAGTCTTGCGGAGTCGAGACGCGAGGAAAGGACAAGCCTTTGGTATTCCAGAGGCGACTTTGTGCCGACTAGAAGCTCTATCTCATACAGTATCTCTGCGCCCTTGTGCTGCCCCTGGGTTGTATTCGACCGGACTTGTTCGTGCGCCGTTCGGTATCGCCGCCGTCACTGTTCTCGTCGCCGATTCGATGCCAGAGAGGCAGTGGTGGAGGGGAGTCTTTCGTCCAGCTTGCCGGGCTGGTTGAGGTGTGGTGATGGGGGATGTCTCCGCGCTGGTGCGTGTCGGAAGACGCGTTTTGGTGCTCGCCCTGGGCGATGTAAGTCACAACACTTGTTCATATACTCACAAGTAAGCAGAGACTAGGCTGCTCCTGCCCTCAACGGAGGTCTCTTCGCATGCTCGTCGTCCTCGACTGAGGTAAGGTCGTCGCCGCCGACTGCGATCCCTGAGCTCATAGCTGCCTCGACGCCGCCCCTGTTCTGGCAGAGTTGCTGAGCCTCTTGCCGATGCATGCAGCAGCTTCAGGGGCTTCGTCCGCCTTTGAGCAGCTTGTGCTCAAGCTTCTGTAAGTCTCTGGTCCATCTCAAGTCGGTGCAGGCTTGGCAGTGGTGATGGTGCTGAAGGGGTCCGCGGAGATTATCACTAGCGTCAAAGGCAAAGTAAGGTCGGGATCACCAACACAACACAGTAGGATAGGACTTCAAGGCCTTGCGAGGAGGATGCAATACTATATAGCTATCTAAAATCATCATCGTCGTCCTCCCAGCTCTTCTCTTGGTGTTGCAGTGTCTCAGTGGCAGATGCATCAAGCTGCCGCCGTCTGCCCACCCCTGTCTCATTGTCCGCGGTGATATTGACACTATTGAACAACTCGCCGTCACCGCCGCTCTCTCAGGTAGCTGCCTTAGCATAAACCAAAGCTTTTTGTCTCACTCCCTCTCTCTGTTCTACTCCCACAACCACCACCCAAAATTGCCTCGCAATCGCCCTTTTTCTGCTCCTCGAAGCTTCCTTTCCTCTTTCAACACCTCTACTCTACTTGGCAGTTGCCTCAAGGTATCCTCCCACTGCTTTTCTGACAGCCCGCTGATTTTGATAGCAGTAGCGCTGACTTTGGCTCTCCCCGCCACCTCTTGCCTCGCCTGGAGTCGGTCGCCCATGCCTTGCATGGGGATAAGTATAACCCTTCCATCAGTATCTTCTCCTCCTTGCCCTGAACCATGCTGACGACCACCTCGCCGGCGCTGCTGTCGCGCGTCTGGTCTAGTACCCCGCTCCAAGAGCCAGCTTCAACCACCTCTACAAGTATCCCCTCCCCTCCTCTAACATTGCGACGTCGTCATTGATACGGCGTCGCCCTCGCTATGCTAATGCGCAACCTGTAGTCGCTGGGTCACTTCATGGCACATCTTGCCGTCGCCAGCTCTGACCACATCTTCAGGTATCCCCTCCCCTCCTCTAACATTACGACGTCGCCATTAGCGCGGCGTCGCTCATACTGCTAATCTTCAACTTTTAGTCGTAGCAGCTCGATTGCGGCACGCGCTGTCGTCGCCAGCAGTGTCTTCGTCAAACCACCCAGCTTCATTACCCCGCAATGTTTACCGACAAAACGACTATGTCCACTCATTGGTGTGTTACCTCTTCTACCTTACATCATTAGTTCCTTGACTAACCTTTGCGTAGTGGTGCTTGCCCTTCCACCTCCATCCCCTTATCTCCTCCACCCTCCTCCATCCAGGTTTGTCATCCCCTTCCTTACTGACCCTGCCTCAGACAACGGCGGCCATTGACGAGTACACGATCGACTGCCCCGGCTTGCCGCATTCCGTATTGCAATAGCAACTCGCTGGTTGTCGATCTCATACATGCGGACCCCTCATGACCATTGCGGCAAGTCTTGGTCCACTTTGAAGTTTATTCCCTTCCCTCATTGAGCTCATGGACTAACAAGACCAGTGCATGGCGCCTCAAACCCTAACCATACCCCTACCAAGTACCCCGGGTATCCAACTGAGGTGAGCACTCTGGCTGACTACATCTAGGGTATTGCTGTCGCCTCTGATCGAGCTCAACACCACGAACCAAGACGCCTTCCACAACCAGCTTTCAGCTTTTCCACGACGCTCGACGAGGCTTGCGCACGCCCAAGGGAATAAGTACCATACCGGATGCCACCGCTGTACAACATAACAAGGAACCCTCTGCACGTACGTATCCCCCCTCCTCTGTCGTCGGCTAACTAGTGTTACAGGGTGGGATGGCAAAAATCTGACTCTGGCTCCCCGTCGCCGCCTCCTGGTAACGTCCTTCTCTTCGGAGAAGGGCGGCTAACTGAGCTCCAGTACTCGTGCTTGACCGCATTGAACCTTCTTCCAATCGTTTCGCTTTCCTAAGCATCGTCGACATATTCTCTCTTCTCTTTCCTTCCTCCCCTCCTCCGAGCTCGCCATCTATGCCGACCTACGCGCTGGCCAGCACATCATCGAGCAGTATACTTTTCATCAGCGTCTCATCGACGCTAAGTCTCCACCTACCCCTGGCGGCGACGTCCACTTACTGACATGTATTCAGGCTGTCTCTCACTTATACATCAGCGTCTCGAGATGCCATGTGGTTGAGACAGACGATCCATACGCCCATCGTGGGCAGCAATCGTATTCGACCCCAAGGCTTCGACCGCCTATCGCATGTACGTCGTCCTCAACATTTGCCTTTTGCTAACGTGTCGCAGTATACAAAGCGATGTAAGTGCTTACTCCCCCTTTGGTTGTTGCTAACGTGTCTCAGTGTGGGAAGTGAATCTGTCTCTGTGCGTCCCCGCCGCGCTTCCTGGAAACATCTCACCTTGTCTCAGGGAGATGGCTGAACAGGGCAGTCCCAGCAGGAAAGGTCATTGCCTGCTGGTGTCTTCGTTTGTTTAGGCGACCGCGCCGCGAGTGGTCAATCCAATTCCTCGCCGAGAACGCCTTCCGCCCCTGGAAATTCAAGCAGAACACTTGGAAGCAAAGCAAGATGTGTCACTGGGACACTGAGCAAAAACAAGCTACAATGAAGAGGCGAGCTGGCGCCAGACGAAGTGAGCATCATCTTTCCCCTTCAATCAGTTCCCCTTCATTGACTAACGCTTGCCAGATACCAGCACCCCGACAAGCCCTGCCATCCACCCAAGGCATGGGAGGCAAAATCTGACTCTGGGTCCGCGCCGCGTCGCACCCGCCTCCCGGGCAATGCCCTCACCCACGACGAGAGGGTAGCCAAGTGAGCTCCAGTCGCCAGCAAGACCTCAACACCACTTGCTGGTGTCGCCCCGATACCACCGCCGCAAGCGAGCAAGATCGACGCCCGCTGAGAAACCGTCTCGAACGCCAGCCTTATGATACTTCCAAGGTCATTTGCAATCGCAATGCGACGTCGCTATCTTTCCTACTTTTGCAAGCGTTGCAGCGTTCTTGATTAGAAGATGGAAGGTACTCGAAGTTCACGCCTTTCGCTTCTGCCAGGACATACTCGCTGGTACAAGCGGCGACCCATTGGCAAGTGAAGTACAAGACCGGTGAGTAGCTTCTTGCATCCTACTTGAAACCCTTACTAATTCGTCCACAGGAAATGCTGTCAGACGTCGCTTGTGGTGGTCTCGATAACATCTGCTCCATCTACAACCTGTCGGCTCGGGAAGGCCCAACACGTGTAAGACGCAAGATTTTCTGCTACTCGTCAACAAGCGCACCCTCACATCGCTTGTTGGCATGACCTGTGTTGTCAAGGACAGTCCCAACAAGCTGAGCATCGTCAACATCCCCACATACATCGAGGAGGAGCAGATTCGAGAGCTCGTCGAGACCCAACAAGCTGATCTTTCATCTTCTGCTCTTTGTTGGATTTGGAGACCGGCTCCAAGGTACACGAGTTCGCCGACCAGTCGTCATCGTGACTGAGACTATCTTCATGACCGTCACGCTTGAGTCAACTTCAAGTTCTGCATCGTCCAGTTGCTACGCCATTACTACCTCTGCTACGCTGCCGGAGGCGTCTATCACCGTCGAGGTCCCGCAGAAGGGCGTTCCTGACGTCGCGTCCACGCCTTGGTTTCGCTTCAACCTCCTTGGCTCCTTGGCTCCTCCATGCATATACTACGCTCACACATCACCTCCTTACATGGCCGATATGAACCAAGAAACGATCCAGAGTGAGGGCAATGTTGTTCTCATCGTTGTTGACGAATGTGTTCCAGAAGGTCATTACCATGGTACATGAGTACGTCCAAGGAGAGGACTTTGAGGAGGACGATGCTGGCCCTCAGGCCGGCTTCGAGGAGGAGAATTCGACAGCGACAAGTCGCCTTCCCTAGTGATGGGTCGGTGCCCATGGTAAGCCGCCTTCTCTACCGATAGGATTGGCGTTCATGGTAAGTCGTCTTCCTCAGCGTGGGGTTGGCGCCCGTCTTTGGACGGCGACAGGAGTATTCGGCGACCACGGCGAGGATCTAATGCAGCAAGTCCGCTTCTACCTCCTACGTACGATCGAGACATCCCATCTCCCGAATCAGAACCCGGAGTCGCGAGAAGTCGAAGAGCAGTACGTTCTGCCCAGGGCAAATGTCACCGTTGCCAAGCGTGGCAGCCAGAACGACGTAGCGTCGGCAGTCAAGATGCCCAGCGCCCCAGATACTCCCCGTGGTGAGCAGAGAAGAACTCACACCTCTTCTCATGTCGCACAAGACAAACGTTTGGATCTTGAAGTTGGCGACAAATGCAGAGCATCTCTTCAACAACTACAACATCGACCTGTTCATCGAGTACGTGGACTTCGTTGCGCTTGGTCTTCCGCAAACTTCTCCGGCAGACCTCTCGCCCAAATGCCTACAACGTTGCGCCACAACATCAACCGCTTTCACGCCCCATGCTCAACAACGACAAGTTCGAAATGCATCCCGCACGTTCACGTACTCCTGTCCTTCACGTCCAAAAGCAGAGTCTTGAGGATCGATACGGTACCCCACAGACATTTCCGGGCATCACGAGAGTAAACCTGCATACCAAGATGGCGGAGATGAGCCAACGCATAGTTGCTAGCACTTGGTTTTAGCACTTCCTCTGGCGACCCTCATCGGCAAGAAGTACTTTGTGCTTCACGACACCAACGCGATGGCATCGCAACGCATACTTCATCTCCTCCGACGGCTCGTGCCAACGGCAACCACGTCAAGACCTGCTCTGATGTTCGGCGAGATCGGCCACCATCTCAGCGTCCACCGCCTTCGGGTATGTTGAATATTTCATACCCCAAGCTGTAAGCCGCCTTCCCCATCCTAGGGTTGGCGCTTGTCTTGGGGCGACAGTTCAGAAGCAGCCGACATCTCTTCACCCAACCAGTAGTACGAGCATATCGTCGACAGACGAAGCCCATACATCGCAGTATCCTGTGACGCCCTGGAACACTTCATGCCCGGATGGCGGTCTCCATCTGATACGCCTTAGACTGCTAACTCGCTACTGCTGTATGCTCGTAGCCTGTGCCTAGAGTGCCACGACTTCTCCACTCCATCGCCGCTGCCTCCAGCTCCTGCGGACGGAGTTTACCATCTTGAATCAGCTGAGGAGACGAGCCGCCCACCTGTTTCGGGAATGAACACCACTCCGGATCTGCTACTCGTCAACAAGCGCACGCCTCTTTCGGAGAGGAACACAACTCCGGATCAGGGCGACGGCGGTGACGAGGATGCCGCCAAGCGCAAGCTGTCCAACCAGAACATGATCGCTGTCGTTACGGGACGTAAACTTTCGAAACCTCGCCAGAAGCCCGTCTCGGAGCGGCCCGTCCTCAGGATGCGCGGCGACAGGGAGGCCAGGTACCGAAGCCAATCTACTGGACACTACCAGACGGATTCGCTAGCTTCTGTGCTATCCACCTCGCCATTTCGTGCTACTCGTCAACAAGCGCAAAGAGAAGTCAGCGGTGTGGGCTCTCTGGCGGGCTTCGAGGAGGATCTGTTCGCTGTTATGGCGCTGTCTGGTACCAAGGCTCAGGTCCTTGAGATGCAGAAGGAGTTGGTCTAATTTGAGATGGATATGGATGATACTGGTAACTGGTGTGTAATGGCTTGAGATGATATGGACATGACTGTTACCACTACCCAATCGCCTCTTTCGGGGAGGACGCGATGGAGGCTTCGGCGGCGGACGTGATAGGATGCGTGCGGCAAAAGAGGAGTCCCCGCCCTTCAACAAGCCGCGCGAGGCTACGCCCGACCTCACCAGCTTCACAAACATCCAGAAGCGCGAACGTCGCATGACACAACGGGACATCAAGTCCGCAGGCTACGAGAACATCACCGCCGGATGGCGTCACAACTCACTCCAGTCCCACTGGTCCGCCTATCCCGTTCAGTGGCTCACGCTTGAAGCGCCTCCTCCCCGAGTCTCAGCGTCTGCCCATTCCCCAATGACGCCCCATGGGATGACCGCCAACAGCTCTGTCCTGGACAAGAGCATATTGTGTCGGTGCACAAGGTTTCCTGTACAATATCACCATCGCCAAAGAGCTACCGCAGCGACGACTTTGAGAACACATACAGTCCAGGGTCTATGCTAGATCAATCTTCGCCACGGCTGCGGTCCTTTTGCTTGATTCACTCTTTCGCTGAACCCCAGCGGATGGAGCCAGTTCACTGACCCCAACAACACCACCGTCTTCTTCGGCGGTCTCTCCGGCTACGTCGCCGAGGACAGGCTCCGCTCCTTCTCCTAGGGCTTTGGCGAGATTACATATGTCAGGATTCGCCCAGGCGAGGATGAGTTGGTGGAGTGGATGATGAGAAATGTCGAAGGAAACCCTCCTTGGTAATGCGGTAGATATAGTAAGTCTCCCATCCCTGCTTCTCTTTCCGGTTCCAGTTGCTAACTCTTCGCAGATTTATACTTGTTTGATAACATTCGATCTCATTTGCTTGTGAGATGTGATGCTTCCGCCTTTGATGTCGACATGGCAGCGTATCTTTGCTTCCGGTGAGTACTTCCTTCTTCGCTCCCCTTCGTACAAGACCATAGCTAACTCTTTCACATCTCCTCTGAGCTTATGCTGACACTAGCCCTGCGCTTCTCAAGGTGGTGCGATGATCCTCCGAGACTAGTTCCTCATAGTAGCTTCTCCAGTCCGCGCCGCCGAGATCTGAGTCTTGTCTCTTTTCCCAGCCCTTGATCCGATGGTGGCTATCTCTGGCGTTGTCTCCGGCAGCGGCGATAGCAATCTGTGAGTGTCGGTCAAATTGACTAGATGCCCGAAGGTTTGGGACGGTGGCTGACTTCAAGCGCATGACCTTCGATATCGCGCCCACTTTCGAGCGACAGTCGCATTGCTGTAAGCATTTCCGACCAAATGCTCGATGGCTGTGGCTTATACTGATGTTCTGCATGCACGCCTTCCCGACTGGCGTTGACGATGGTCAGCTTTCTCGAGCCCAATCGTTCGCAACGGCGGATGCTATCTTGTGAGTGTCGTTCAGATTGAACAAGTGTCCGAAGATCCAGCTCCTTCACTGACTTCAGCGCCAGGCATTTCAGTCCGCCTTCGGGCAGGCTTCGGTCTTGGTTGCTTCATCGCATTAAGTACCTTGACCAAATGCTCGGTGGTAAGGCACATTGCTGATCATCAAGATATACACCTCCTCGCCTGGTACCGCCTTCTCGCCTCGCACCACCTTCTCACCTCGCACGTCCTCCTGGTCACATCGCCTAACCGTTTCGCATCTTCCACTCGCGGCATCTCCGCCCGATCGCCAACCAAATCTGGTAGCCTTCTCGAACGTCTTTATCCGCAACGGCCAAGCAATCTTGTGAGTGTTGTTCTCATCGACCAGCTGACCCGAAGTATCCAGACTCTACCGGCGTGTTCTTACGTCCGCATCTTTTTCCTTGATTGATCGCAGTCCCAATGTTGGTTTCAGGAAGTCGCATCAGCCTCTGAGGTAGTGAGACCACTTCCTCATAGTGGCCTCTCACTGAGCGGCTTCCAAGAGCAAGTAAGTCGCATTTCGAGCTGCTATTCAGGGCTTTTGTCCTGTGTAAACCAACAGCTCGATGACCGGACGTGGGTTAAGCATCTTTTCCAATTCATTGAACTGATGCTGTGGGTCGTCCGTACATTGCCCATACTTCACATGAAGTTGAGGACACCTGATTGAATTTGGTAGCTTCTGGTGTCGGCGGCGGCGCCACGCATCCGGTGAGTGTCGTTCGAATCGACCAAATGCCCGAAGACATGGACTTTGCTAATGCGATGCGTGTATTCTGACCTTGTTCGACTCCGCGGCGGACTTCCGGTCTTGACGACGACTTTGAAGGTAAGTACCTCCTCTTCTCCAAGACAACATCGTACTAACCGCATGGTGTCGTATGCGCGCAATGTGCTCTTCCAGCTTCCTCACTTGTACCCAGCGGCGTGGCGGTAAGTACCTCTGATCATCCAAGTCAGCAACATGCTAACCGGTTGGTGTCGCATACGCGCATGTGCTCTCCTCGGATTCGACGGTAAGTACCCCGTTTTTCTCAAGACAGCAGCATGCTAACCGCGGGCGGTCTGCCCTCTTCAGGTTATTCATGCGACAAGCTCTTGTGTACTCTTCGCAAGACACCCAACGCCCTAGTGTTGAGCGTCATCGTCTGCCCTGCTCTTCCCATTTGCGTACATCCAACATCGTCGCAAATACGCTTAAGCATCATCCGCAAGCTGCTACATCCGTCCCTTCTCAACTTTTCCTTTCATGTCTGCCTCCTCCTCTTTTGGCTATCGAATCGCCGGAGTGCGTCATCGTTGGTTGATCGTCAACCTCAACTCCGCGAATTTCGTTCGTAGCTGACCAGATAGCCAAACCAACTTCCGAACGATGCGACGACATCGAAAGCCGACTATCAAGCATTCCAAGGGTATCGCCTTGGGTTCAGGCGCCGTTTTGACGATCCATGGTCGTGGTGCGAGGCTGGGGTCGCAAGAAGCGTCGCACCAAAGGTACGCTCAGCACTCCATCTGCAGGGCATGCTAACATTGACTCCACCTTGACCAACCATCTCGTAACTCCTCTCCTCTCCCCTCGGCTCCGTGTCGTCGCTTAGCGCATGCCACACGCCGCCTGCTGCCTTGTCGCTGCGCACAAGCCCGGGTACCCGCTCGACGCAAACAAACGCCCTCACCGCCCGACCTTGGGTATATAACCACCACAATCGAGCTTGTCTTCGCCTTCGGGCATTTGGTCATCTGAAACGATACAGAGAAGATTAGCATGGCCCCTGCACTAAGGATGACACGCTCAATCAAAGAGACGCTAACATTTTTTTTTGCGAATCTTTTGGCTTCACTTTGCCTTGCGTAAGGTCAGCGATTCGAACACGCAAGGCGACGGCAGCACGGGCCTGTTGCGGCCTTGCTTTCCCACGCTCTTTTTGCTGCCAACGCTGGCGTGCTGGGTATGGACAAGCGACATCAGGGTTCGTCAAGCATCCCTCCCAGGCTATGGTGTCTTGTTATCGACTTTGAAAAGCTGCTGATGTCCAGGTCTGTCAATCCGTGGCTTTTTTTTGCAAGTGCTTTCTGAGCTCATCGTAGGTATCGGTTCGACGCTGATCCTGATGGCCCAAGGGGACACGCGATCTTGGAACATTGCTGTCCAAGCATTGCGACGGCTCCACAGCAAAGGACCTACTGCCTCAGGGCGATAGTAGTGTCCCGAAACTGGAGCCGAGAAGAAACCAAAGTGCATGCCCTGTCTTCCAGAACTCGAGGGGTCGGATCTAGAATGGTGTCATCAAGTATACTTGCTGCGCCCGTTACGCAGATTCGGAAGACAGGTCGCGTATATGCAAGGACGCAGAGCCGTTCCGCTCGCCCGCTACATGGAACGGCATGTCACGTGGGTCTGCAGGTTGCTCTGCTCCGACATTACTAGATAGGTCAATTCGTATCTTTTTCAATATCTCCTCGAGTTCAGATCTGAAGTGAGTGAGGCACGCCAACCATCTTGATGGGCGATTGCAAATCATGTCGTCATTCTTGAGGTCGGTGACGGAGATACCTATGTTGCAAGAGGATGGAACGTCGTTATCACATACGGGCATCGAATCCGGAAACAACGATAGATAATATGGAACGATCGAAGAAACATAAGATGAGATTGAGAGCGGAAGCGTCGCAAAAACGAAGAAGAGTGCTGAAGAAGACACGAGGGGTAGGCGTATTGTGCACTCACGCAATCGCTGTCAGTCATGACCTCAAGGGCCAAAGAAAGAGCAACACTGCTTTTGATGAAAACAGTTCAAAATCGTTCCAAAGGTGAGAGGCGCGAGCAAGATCATGGCCGCGATGGTTGGAACGGAGAGGTTTGACGGGCACAGCTTTTGACGGGCACAACTAAACTCTAGGTGGTGCGAAGACCTCAATCGACGCTGATTGGCTGACCACCTTGGCGCCGCAGAACCTCCGGTCCAAGATCCGCATCTGCAAATCGTCACGCCGCGACATCACCACCGTTGACGTCGGCACCACACATATCCGCCTGTCGCAATGGCGAAGAAAGGTATGCGCTCTTGCTCTACTCCCGTAACAGGCCCTTATGAGCCAAACCAACGCCCCCGCCGCTCCACAATGCGCCCTCCCACGACTCACACATCTGCGGACATGCGCTGACGACGAGCCTCACAGCAAAGTCCCGTACCATTATGGTGCGCCTGATATCGATGGCCATGACGGGGTACTACCGGACGATGCAAAGACCACGTGCGCATCAACCGCTGAGCATGCTCAAATATGATCCCATTGGTACGACGCCATCGCTCCTTTCTCTCCATCGTCCATGGGCGCACCGGCCTTACACACGACATCATACTAGACTGGATGCAATTTTGGGGCAAATGAAGGACCCGCGGGTCTTCGCGGGGCAGGCTAGATTCAGGAATATGGCTGACAACGGACAGTGCGGAAACAAGTACTTTTCCTCGAAGCGAAACGCGGCAAGAAATAGAACGAACTTTCCACCACGAAATGAGCGGGCGCAATAGAGAGCATTGGACGATCACGATGAATATTGGATCTGGGCAGTTATGGAAGTCAGGATGAATAGAGGGAAGCCGCGCACCACAGGTGGAAGCCCCGGCAGCAAGGACTACCATCTGGAGCCAGCGACAGGCATGAAGCAAGCCCCATGCTTGCACGCCTATGTACTATACAGTCAGCATGGTTTGGCGTTATATACGATTCAAAGCAGACATGAACAGCACGTCTGCCACACAACAAACAACTTCTCACTCTCGCCTACTCCAACTTTTCTTACTCTATCTCCCCGACTACGCGGCAATACTCATCTCTGCTCACAGGTACTCCCGTATTCCTGACCCGAACGCCGAGATGAGGATGCTCGCCAAGGTCAAGGCTCCGCCCCGCTGCTTGTCTGGCCTCTTGGCCCTACTTAGTGCATCGGAAAAGCCTCAGCACCTGGACGGGTTGCCCGAAGAGGTCGTTCCGACTGGAGAAAGGCTTGGACTACGTCGCCGATGGGCTTTGCACCAGCCACAAATTACCCCATATATGCTATGGCTAAGACTCTGGGGTTGCAGGTGATGGCGCACGGAGGAGTTGGCTGCAACCTAAACGCGTCTGTCTACCGGCAGGATAGCCGAGTGTGCGGAAGTGCAAAAGTATAAAATGGCGCTGACCAGCAGATGTTTGCACTATTCGTTGGCTAGGACTCTTTCGACCATCTCAGTCTCAAAATGGGTTCCGAAAAGATAGACGAGAAGCGCTCAGAACATTCCCCTGACACGCGCATTGATAACATCAACTATGAAAATCCTTCCTCATCATCACAAGATGCGATCGAACAACAAAAGGCAGCATCACAACCTTCCGGCGTCCTAGGTATCTTCTCCAAGCTCGGTAACCTGCCAGAATGGCACGTTCCCGGCGCTGGTCTCCTCCAAGGGAAAGCGTTAAACACCGCCATAGCATGGTGCTCTTGTCTGGCATTCCTCATGTTCGGTTATGACCAGGGAGTTTTGTCCGGCGTCCTCACTCTCGATGGCAAGTACTCTGACATATGAACTGTATGAGACATACGCTGACTTCTCCACCATCTAGATTTCCAACGCCACTTTCCTCTTATGACACCTCGCGAACGTCAGAACAATCTCTGCTGGCTCGATGCACCGACCAACACTGTTCCTGATCCGAGTATGTGCACGGGTAGCCCTAGTATCTTGTCCGCATGCGTCGCGGTGTATCAGATCGGATGTTTCCTCGGCGCTGTCCTCATCTTGTTCTACGGTGAGGTCTGGGGAAGGAAAAGCAGTAGCTTTTGGGGAAGCTTTATCATGATTGTTGGAACTATTCTTCAAGTGGCTGCAGGAGGTACTCGTGGTGGTGGAGTCGATGGTTACGCCCTCCTATCCATTGGGCGTGTGGTCGGTGGCATTGGCAACGGCATGGTCACAGCAAGTGAGTACCACCTCGACTTGCACGCGTCTTCACTTGCTAACATCCTTTCAGCGATTCCAACCTGGCAATCTGAGTGCGCGAAACCTGAGAAGCGTGGACGCTTGATCATTACATCCGGAGCAGTCATCGTCGCCGGCGTAATGATCTCGTACTGGGTAACTTACGGATTCTACTTCTTGCCATCGGGCGAGGTCTACAGCTCCGTGCGCTGGAGGTTTCCCATCGTCTTCCAGTCTTTCTTCACTATTCTTGTCATGTACGTATACCTTCTCCCGCTTCTACAGAGAATACCACTAACATGATCTCAGGATCGGTCTTTGCTTCCTGCCCGACTCGCCAAGATGGCTCGTAATGCGCGGCCGCCATACCGAAGCCCGACTCCTGCTTGCTCGCCTCGCCGGTACATCTGCAGACTCGGAAGAAGTCGATACGGAGCTTACGAACATCAAAGACGCGCTAGAAGCGCAAAGTATGGATGGGCCATTCAAGATGAAGGAACTTTTGCACAACGGCCCCAGTCAGAACCTTCGGCGCACGCTATTGGGAGTTGCCTCGCAGTTCTTCCAACAGATCAGCGGTATCAATCTCATCGTACGTACGCCTTCAGATATCGCAGTGGTAAACCACAAACTGACCTTGCTTTCACTAGACCTACTACGCAACCTACGTCTTCGAGAACTCACTCGGTTTTGGCCCCGACATGTCCCGTCTCCTGTCCGCATGCAACGGTACCGAATACTTCCTCGCCGGACTAGTCGCAATTCCATTGATCGAACGAGCTGGTCGTCGCAAACTCATGCTCTTTGGTGCGTTCGGCATGATGGCTAGTATGGCTATCATGGGCGGCATGACGTCGACGGCCACCGAAAACGAATTTGGTGCTCCGGTCTTAGAGCCCAAGTACGGCATCACGGCTGTGGTGTTCATGTTCGTCTTCAACACGTTCTTCGCGATCGGTTGGCTAGGAATGACATGGCTCTACCCTGCCGAGATCACTAACCTCCGCATCCGTATCCAAGCAAATGCGCTCTCTACGTGCTCTAACTGGATATCCAACTTTCTCATCGTCATGATTACGCCACCCGCGTTTGCCAACCTTCAGTATAACACCTACACCATGTTCGCGGTCTTCAACGCCTGCCTCATCCCTAGCGTCTACTTCTTCTTCCCCGAGCCCAAGGGTCGCAGTCTGGAAGAGTTGGATGTCATCTTTGCGAGCGCGCATCATGAGGGCATCAATCCGGTCAAGCAAGCGAAGGAGATGCCTAAGCTGATGGGTAGGGAATTGGACGTGGAGATTGCGAGGTATTTCGGTGGTGATGTGGAGGAGGCGAGGCGGAGGAGTGTGACGAGTGCTGGGATTACAGCGTGATTCAGCCCGGAAGATGCGGATGGGCTGTCGTACTCTGGGTAGGAGTAACCTCGGTGTGTGCGTTTCACACATAAACCTCTCAATGTCCGGAGATTAGAGCATTTGTAAATGCCACCAACAGTGTTGCTCATTTTAAGCTAATACCTCTGAAGACGCGAAAAATTGCGGATATGGCCGCGTGTACCCGCCTGTATACTCATCCGCTTGAAGCCTGATTCAACAAGACACCGAGATACCGTGCCGTGTTGCCCGTATGCGATCTACTTGCTGACTGCGATTGTCCCCACCCAGCCACTTGCTAGTGGTCTGTGCAACCAGACACCACTCACCCATCTGAACTAAGCCCTGGCCATCTCCGGTTCCTAATGCAACAAGCCATGCGATTTAACTTCCTGATGCAGGAAAAAGCCTACAGTTCCAGGTACTCGCCTCAGTCGCCAAAGCCACAATTAAGGCCTACCGCTCGGTCGGAGTCAGCACAGGGCTGGGCTGCGGCATGTGGCGGGGCAATGTCCCGGCCTCTTCCCCTCCCTCCACCTCCACACCATCGACAGCGAACGGCTCATCAAACTCAGTGCCAGCCCCCCGTCCAATATCACGCCGAAATCATGACGTCGATAAGCTTTGCCCGCCCGGTAACAAGCAAGACAAGCCTTGGCAAAGGGCCTTGTTCCGCCGCTGTGCATAGCGAGCTTCTTCTTTGGGTAAGGAGCTCATTATGCGCGCTGCAGCAAGCTTTGGGGCTTGTGGATACGAGGCTTCAACGTCAACGCGGTATCGTTATAAAGAACTTCATGAATTGGGCGTGCGAACATCATAGCTGAAGTTGCAGCTTGGAGAAACGAGCGCAAGAAGATGGCACAAGGATTATTGATGGTCGCGCAGGTGAAACAGCTCTACCTAGGTATCCCCCCGCCAGGGACGTGCCGGTACATCCTAGCCGAACTTCCTGAGCATTGCTCCCAGCACACAGCCGGAGGATCTTCAAAGGCACGTTATCCGGCCAATAATTGCACAGAACGTCCGCAGTTGCCTGATCTAGACTACTTTCCTGTGTCCCAACCCGCGGCTCGCAGCATACGACCATGTAGTCTGACGTTGACCCAGCGCTGAAATACGCGAGAAGCATGCGTAGCTAGATGAGCCGGTGTACGCAAAGCCGCTTGGCTTCGTAGTAAGGCCGTGTATATAAAGAGGTGGAGGGCACTACTTTGCTGGGCAAGCATTCGCTGAAGTCTTGGTTGCTCTTCTTCCCGACAAGCTTCCCACCATGGCGCGCTTCGCTCAACTCGCCGCCGTTTTGGCCGCTGCTTCGCTAGCCAATGCTCGCGCGCCGTTCATCAAGGAGCGCCAAGTGCCTGCTGACCCTACTGGCGTCACGACCATTACTTCTGCTGCTGGTGCTAAGATCACGTACAAGCAGCCTGGCAAGGCGGGTGTGTGCGAGACCACCGAGGGTGTCGACGACTATGCCGGGTACATCAGCCTCAACCCGACGACGAACATGTTCTTCTGGTTCTTCGAGGCTCGCGAGAACCCTTCCGAGAAGCCATTGGTAAGTACAGTGTTCGTGAAGCGTTACTACCATGTGTACTAATTATATTGTCAGACCTTGTGGTTGAACGGAGGACCCGGAAGTGACTCTCTCATTGGTCTGTTCCAGGAACATGGCCCTTGCAACGTTACCGAGGACCTGAAGACACAGCTGAACCCTTACTCGTGGAACGAGCGCAGCAACATGCTGTATCTCTCGCAGCCCGTTGGTGTGGGTTTCTCTTACGAAACCACCGAGACCGACGAGGATGGCCGCTACTCGCTTGTCGACCCAGACACCGCAAACACCACCGATGCTGCAGCCATTGGTGCATGGCACATTCTTCAGGCTTTCTTGGAGCTGAGCCCGCAGCTCGACCCCGATATCACCAACTTCACTTTCAACCTTTGGACTGAGAGGTAGGTCCTGTGATGGTCTAGGTATGAACTCAATGCTGACAATGTCACCAGTTACGGAGGTCACTACGGTCCAGGCTTCTACAACTACTTCTACCAACAAAACCAGAAGATCAAGAATGGCTCATGTGCTGGTGTCGAAGTCCAGATGGACACTCTCGGTGTCATCAACGGTATCGTCGACGAGCAGATCCAGGCGCCCTACTACCCGGAGTTTGCGGTGAACAACACCTACGGCATCAAGGCAGTCAACGACACCGTCTACACCTTCATGAAGAACGCCTACTACATGCCCGGAGGCTGCCGCGACCAAATCGACTACTGCAAGCAATCCGACCGCACCACCGAAGAGGGCTACCTTACCTGCGCCGAGGCCACCAACCTCTGCCGGTCCCTCGTCGAGGAACCCTACTACGCCTTCGGCGGCCGCGGCGTGTACGACATCCGCCACCCCTACGACGACCCCACGCCCCCCGACTACTTCGAGGACTTCCTCAACCTCGCCTCAACCCAAGAAGCCATCGGCGTAAACATCAACTACACGAGCACCAACGCGCCCAACGTCTCCTACGGCTTCTCCACCACGGGCGACTTCGTCTTCCCCAACTTCCTCGAAGACCTCGAGGAGATCCTCAGCTACGGCGTGCGCGTTGCCCTCCTCTACGGCGACGCAGACTACATCTGCAACTGGTTCGGCGGCGAAGCCGTCTCCCTCGCTGTCAACTACACCGACTCTGAAGCTTTCCGCGCTGCGGGCTACACGCCTTTCCTTGTTGATGGCGTTGAGTATGGTGAGGTGCGCGAGTATGGTAACTTCTCGTTTACTAGGATTTATGAAGCGGGGCATGAAGTACCGTATTACCAGCCTGTAGCTAGTCTTGAGCATTTTAAGCGCGTGTTGGATCATGTTGTTATTGCGGATGGTAGTCAAGTCGTTACGGATGACTACAGCACAAACGGTACTGCCGAGGCTACTCATACTGAGGAGTTTGTTCCGTTGCCGCCGACTAGTACGCCGAGTGCTAGTGCGGTTAGCAGGGTCAAGAGGGGCTCGGCATAGATAAGTGGTTAATGTAGATGGATATATGTAATTATGCCATCTACCGCGCTTCAAACTTCGTGCTTTGTACTATACCACCTACTGTTATTGCGTCTTTTGCAGCCCAAGTTGACCTTATTACTTAAGTACTCTATAGATGCTACAAAGTTTATAGCTTGCTTTTAATCATTAAATCTTATTAAAGATATATTCTACTGCATGCTATAAACAAAGGTGTTTAGGGAATACACCTGCATTGCAATTATATACTGTGTTACTTAGCTGCGTCGTGCCCGCGTTAGAGAACTAGCACATTCAACAAATGATTACTTGAGTACTCAAACTACCGTGCCACATACCTCCTAAGGTGACAGGCTTCCAGGGTTGCCAAACCCCAGCTTGTCACGTGATATGAAAGCTTATGACTCAACTTTGCCAATTCGAAAAAACTTACTTACCATTGACAGATTTGATGAGATAATTTGCTGCGTTAAACTCCTTGAGTCGTGCGAGATTCAGTACAACTTCGTGCGCACCCATCCATGAACATTTGTTCGATACCGGTGACGTCACATGTCTCAAAGCTACGCCGCATTCTCGCTGCACGCTCCCTGGCGACGTGCTTCAGCCACCACCACCATCACAAATCCAGCTTCCCATCCATGCGCACTCGTGAAAAGGACGAGCATTCAGATGCATATCGTGTATGCGCAAGCCATTCTCGGCAGAAATGTTAAAGTTATAGCCCTGGACGTGTCGTCACGAGAGGTTGTCGACGCGTAACGTTCGCGCATCCTGTTGACGGCAACGCGTTTGGAGAAAAAGAAGTCACACATGCTGACGCCAAGATCACAACGCATTTACCTGCAAGCACAGCCCACGCCACCAATAATGCTATCCAGAAGCCGCTCCAAGCCCTGGGGCGTCACCGTTGAGTCGAGAGTCAAGATATGGTGAGGCTGTGTCGGCCCCAACATAATGTCTTACACCCCAAGCTCTGTGGCCCCTCAGTCCTAGGGATTCATACTCGACGGTCGTACGGCGCTTAGACAGCATGTACAAGCAGCTGCAGGGTCATGAACATTCAAGCGAAGATGCACGCAGCGTAGAAGGGCTCGTAAGGTACGCGTCCACTTTGTGTGACCACGAATCGCACAAGCTGATAAGATGTCATTAGGGCCGCATCCACGAATGCCCAGCGGTACGATGGCTCTAGAATCGAAGGCAAATCGGATACACCAAACGCGAAGCGCCCAACCTACCAGCTGGCCAACGACAAGGCATACCACGATGACGAGTTTCTCCTACTGGCAAGACCGCTGGGGCCTGGCGATCCCGTCCCTACGAAGAAGCGCTTCTTTACGGGATGGCGCATGGGCGCGCTCGCATCGGCTACCTGCGCCATATTGGTGTTTAGCATGAATCTCGCCGTCACAATCTGGGTCTGGAAGAACCCCGATTACGAACATGAGGATGGCGTTGGGACGCTATTCCAAGGCAGCTGCTCTATTGTTCGAGAATCGAACGTCTACATCCACCTAGTCGTGAATGTTCTCAGTACCTTACTGTTGTGCAGCTCCAACTACTGCCAACAGATCCTTGCCGCGCCGAATCGAGAAGAGCTAAGGCGCGCGCACGCACGGCGAAACTGGCTGCACATCGGCGTTCCTAACCTCCGCAACCTATGGCACGTTGGATGGGATCGGTCCGTGTTGTGGATCTTGTTGTTTCTCTCGTCTGTGCCGCTACATTTGTTATTCAACTCCGTTGTATTCACAAATCTGCAGGCAAACGAGTATGCTGTCATACCGACGACGCCTGACTGGGTAATGTCAACACAAGACGTTTACGACACCTCTGGCTTCCTGAATGTCAGCATAAATTCAACAGAAGCAATATCCTCAACGATCAGGGACCAATATAGATTCGACCCCTCTGACGCGGTGACGTTGAGAAATGGCAGCACGATATCCAAATACAGGAACGTCAGCACACCCGACTGTCTTGCAGCATACGGCACACAGTATGTTTCAGCTGTTGGTAACTTGTATTTGGTTCAGGAAAGCCCAACGGTTCTGCGAGGCGCTGATGACTGGGTTGGTCGACGGTATCGGAATGACTCTTTCGAATGGGTACTTAAAACAGTAATCACGATGGAAGAGGACCGCAAGAAAGATGAATATGTTATCGAGGCTCCAAACCAAGAACTTCCGGTGACGAGCACGCCAGAAGTGTATCCTTCTAACGGGTGGCGCTGTCTTCCTCATTCTCCCGTCAACTGTAAGTAAACTCAGCATCCGCCACCTACGAAGATCATGTATTGACTAAATTTGACTCAGGCGATCCTGACGATGAGACCATCATTCCAATCAATCGATCAGCGTGGCAGCCATTCGAAGTACCCGTGGCCTACTGCACCATCGAACAAGTCGAAGAGTTCTGCAAGCTGCAATTTAGCTTTACTATCGCGATAGCGGTTATCGTGGCCAACTTTGTCAAAGCGGTTTGTATGATACTTTTGCTTTGCCTGTACTGGGATCATGGCGCGCTTGTGACCATAGGAGATGCGATCGCGGCATTCCTCGAAGATCCGGATCCCGAAACCTACGGTCGTTGCCTACACACTAAACGAGACGTTGGTCTCCGATGGAACTGGAACGAATACGCTAGCATAACGAAACTAGCACTCAGCAGTGAGCCCGTGAGGTTCACAATGAGAAAAAGGAGGTGGGCTAGAGCTCCGAGCACCACGCGATGGTGGCTGACATACTCTACGTAAGTCGTGTGTAAGCCGTTTGCGATCATCCACTCACCTTTTCAGATACACCATCAGTGCTGGGCTCGGTGGACTCTGCATAGCACTTTCCTTGGAAGGCATGCCGAAAGACCCTGTAAAGCTATGGAAGACAGGGTTTGCGACAGTCAACGGTAACAATCTCATGGACTTCAGCACATTACTGATTCCGGGCGTACTTTTGGCGAACACACCTCAGCTGGTCCTCTCATACTTGTATATCGCGCTAAACGCTCTCTACACAAGCATGTTCGTGTCGGCGGAGTGGGCAAGCTACGTCAAAACACGGAAATCACTCCGCGTTACATCGCCCACTGGCTTCCAACGCGACTCCTACTGGCTCAACGTGCCCTTCCGCTACGCAATTCCCATGACCATCATGTCAGGTCTCTTCCACTGGCTCGCATCACAAAGCATATTCAAAGTGCAGATCTCCATCACAGACATGCATACGCGCATAGTCGCCAGCGAAGTTTCAACATGTGGCTATTCCCCCGTCGCGATCATCCTGACTACAGTCGTTGGTTTCACCATCGCAGCTGGCGGCCTCATCATCAGCAGGTTCTGGTATCCAGCTGGTATACCTCTGGCTAGTAGCTGTTCTGCTGCTATCAGCGCGGCCTGTCATGCGCCGTTGGAAGATGTGAACGCCAGTCTTTTACCGGTGCAGTGGGGTGCTGTTACACATGGGAAAGCGGGCGAGGATGGGGATGAGCCGATCGGCCGTTGCTGCTTTACGAGCTTCCCGGTTGAGATGCCTATTCCGGGGCGGTTGTACGCCTGAAGTATACGAGTAACGCGAATCTCTCTACTCGGTCGAAGCTCTCCTGACTTTGAAAACATCACGACGGTCAATCCTCATGAGAGCAGACAAGGGACGTCCAAGGTAACGATATTACGCTTATGTCAACGGTAATTTTATGTAGGCGCAGCGCCCTTCTTATCTGTGTCTGTCGACCATCCGCCCCGGACCCTTTGCAGCTATATCACCTCCTACCAAGACCTTGATCGCGCTCTTAGAGCTCTCTACCGAACAGTCGTTGGCCTTTTGCTTCGCGCATCGCTGTTGTTTCGCGTCCCCGAATTCCCTGTTCATGGACTATTTTGACTTGTTTCACCATTCCCTGAACTTGGAGATCAGTCAATGAACTGGTATCCCCTTGTTGCCGTAATCTCGCCAAGACCATGTCCTCGGCAAACGGCGCATTGATAAATATTCGAAAGTTGGTCGGTAACGCGACGGCACCGGTGTGTTCGTCTAGACATTCCTCTAGAAGATTTCGCGTACCCGGTATCCAAAACGCTTTCTCTCTCTCAGATAGTGTAATAAGGGATTTGCCAGTAATGACGATCTCCAGGGCTGCCATCCACATCAACACCAACCCTTCCCGATGCGCCTCACATGACCGCAGATCGAACGCCCACTGAATCTCACACAACGGATGGCTTCTGCTATACGCCACCCATGCATTCAGGGAAAGCTGAAACCTGTTTCGGCCCGGCCAGTAAATCATCACCGTCAACATACGGTCCAACTTGCGGTCGTATGGAAACCGGAACGAACAGTCTTCGAATGGGTCCATGGCGATGCACGCCATAGTCCATACCCCTGACGAAGCGCCACATTGTTTCGTTATACGTTAGTCGCTGAGTGTGATCGTCGACGTGGACTATATTGAGTTTCGAAGGGAGCTTTTGCGTCTCTGCGCGGACTTGGCGACAGACGAGTGTGAGGGGGTTCGTGATGCGGCCGTCAGCGGCGTTTCTTGGGCGGAGTGTGATGGAGCTTGTGAAAAGTCGTGTCAAAGGTACAATTGACAGCCCATCTTCGTAGTAGAGAGCGTATTCATATATCATGATGCGCAGCTCTAATGGTAGATCAAGAAGCGGTGAAGGGCCCGTTGGTTCTGGCGAGGGCGAGTTCCTTGCTAGCGATGACAATGAGGAGATGTAACCGCCCATGGTGATGGTGAAAAGTCGGAGGTTGGGAATGCGCGCTGGTAGGACCGAAGGGTTGAGAAGGGTTCTTATCTCTCGAGAGGAGTAATCGGTCGACCAAGAAGCGTAAGAGCCTTGACTGTCGCCACTTCCGAGATCACCGCTACTGTGAATGACCGCCAAACCGTCAAAGCTCGAAGATCTCGGCGCGTGAACGCTAAAGTCTGAACTTTACTATACTTATAACCACATACGACTGCTCCACCAACCTCAACTTTCCGTTCAACGAACACACGCCAAGACTATGCCCACTTCAAGGAACGAACAGCCTCTACGGTTTCGGAGCCACCCAGCCAATACTTCAGACCCCAGCGGCGTATGCCACTATCTGAACCTTCCTCGAGAAATACGAGACATCATCCACACGTACGCTTTGACATACGAAGATGGCCTTGTTGCGACTACAGAACCTTTCCGACATGGCCCCGGGCATTTTCGATGATCGCCGAGTCTCCAGCCTTTCCAGTACAGTGAGCGACCAGCCGAGGACTACCACCGCGCTATCTTCAAACCCGGTGATTGCAACCCTCTTCGCTTAGTCTGCCATCAGACACGCGCTGAAACACGCGGGCTTTTGTTGAGCTTGAATGACATTTCCTTCTCTTTAATACCACAAGGAAATAGTCGCTGGCTCGATAAATTGTACGAGAGAATCTTCAAGGACTTCTACACTCAGTGCAGTCACATCAACCGGAATCGCCTGCGCAAAATGACTGTTCACGTGTCTTCTCACAGAGTCAGAAGCTCGGACTTTATCCGAGTTCGCGATATCCTCGACTGGTATACCTGGAAGTTCTCTTTCCACGACAACATCTCAATCATCCTCCGCTTCAACATGGAAGGTATCAATCCGGAACACTACCTCAAGGAAACCATCAGCTGGAGTCTGCTGCGCCATGAAGCTTTTCCTGACAATCCTGGAAGGAGGGGGCCCTCCATGGACACGTTGCCGTGTTATAAGAAGCCGGTGCCGTTTGCGCCTAATGTGCGTTTCTCGATCTGGCATGAGTTTCCGGAAGATGTTGTGGAGGCGCAGTGGAGGGCGGCTTGTGGGAAGTGTGCCGAGTCTGGTCGGAAGGACGTGATTTGTACCTGTATGGAGGGTCTAGCGGGGTCACGGAGGGTGTTTGAGGAGGGCTTGTAGTTTGCGGTGGAGTGTTGCGTAAAATCAGCGTATGGCGGCGACAGCCGTTCAATGTTAACGTCTTCTTGATCTACCTCTAGTTTGATCACTTGCCATAGAAGCTTTAATTAGCTTTCTATATGTGCTGTTTCGTAACGATACTTGCCATATTATGATTGCACGGTGTTGCAACATACCTACTAAAGTTCATATCCCGAAAACGTATCGTTCCTCCCACGACTACGCCGCCGCGCTATTCTCCGCCAACACCCCATTCGCCGTGGCCAGCTCCCCCATCGCCTTTCCACTCACGTTCTGCTTACTCTTAAAGTACTGCGTGAAATCATGTCGAACCTGATGTATAGTCTCTGCAACGCTCTTCCCCCACACCGGATCATCACTCGCCCTCTCACACATCTTGAAGAACTCCTTCCTCTTCTCCTCGTGCTCGGGGTCCCAGAGGCGGTGGAAGTTTTCGCGGGACATGGGGTCGATCATTTCGCGCCAGATCTTGATGCGGATCTCGGAGTACTTGTCGAGGATGGAGTCGTCGAGTTCGTCGAGGTGAATGCCGGTGAAGCAGTCGTAGAGGGAGCCTACGTCGGCGAAACCGCCTGTGAGGCCCATGCCGCCGCTGACGTTATGTTAGTAGAGTCCGCTCATCATAAACTGGTATACATACAATGGATTGCACAGATGCGCTGCGTCGGCGACTAGTACAATTCGCCCTACGCGGAAGCTGGGCGCGCATCTTTGTTGGAGCTTATAGGGGCTCATGCTCTTGAGCTTGTACTCATGGGGCTTGGGGTGACCGGGTAAGATTTGCTCGTAGCGGAGGGGTTGGCGTTTTATGAGCTCTTCTTTTGAGAGGCCTTCTGAGTCGCCGTATGTCACTCGCCAGAGGCCGTCGTTGGTGATCTTTGCGGCCATGTACCAATCCGTGGGGTGGACGATGAAGTTCGAATCCCACCAATCGAATCGCTCGTCGAACGGTAGGTAGACATTGGTAGCAACAATCTGCGCTTTCAGCGTCTCTCCCGGATATTCCTTCCCGAACAACGCTGTGCGCACACCACTCGATGCGCCATCAGCACCAACTAGATAATCGCCCGTAATCTTCTTCTTTTCGCCATCGATTGTCTCGACAACCGCGGTCGCGCTGTTGTCGTCTTGCTCCACACCGGTCAATTTGTGGCCCCACTTGATCTCGGTGTTCGGGTAGCTTTCAAAATGCTTCACGAGTAGGGGGCCTAATTGATCGAGCGGTAGCACAACCATTGCGTATTTTGAGTCTTCTGGATCGCGGCCCATGCCACCTAGAAAGGTCCCATCTTGCAAGCGCCAGCATACACCTTTAGGATGCAGCCCGACAGCACGTACATCGTCTATGATACCTGCGCGATGGAAGTCGTAGACCGCTGAAGGCGCATAGTGAGCAGCCCGCGGGTTGTCGTTGATCTTGGTGTCCGCGTCGAGGATGGTAACTTTGATGCTGAGGTTCTTCGCTAGAAGAATTCCAAGCAAGAGACCGGAAGGGCCAGCTCCTACAATGACGACCTATCGGTGTTAGCAACATGCACATGCAAGCCATCACGGAGGAACATACGTGATTAATCTTCGGCATTGTGACAGATTTGGTCTACTGCATGCAGATGGTGAGGAAGTATATCTCAACCACATGTCATCCTTTAAGAAACTCAGATGACATGTCCATTATGGTGGGGCTGTCACATCCCCGCCTCCAAACTTCTCCATGCCATCTCGCAGAGTGTCGGCTGAGCTGCAGCTGGCAGGTGCGGGGAACGAGTCGACTGCCCCACATCCATGGATGGTAATCGGCACCGGGACATCGTGGGACCGCCCGGACCGGCACTCGTGCACGTGATGCGCTGAGTAATGATAGCCGTGATAGTGGAGCAAAGGGTCTTGGAGCCGCAACAATGCTTCCTGCAGGGCTGGTGGATCATGAGGTACCTAGGTATGACGTAAGGAAGAGCACGCGTCTCCCCTGATGATCACAACCGCGCCTGAGCCCGACAGGAGGCAAGCAACCGTTGCTATAGCGAGTGCGTCTTACGAAGATGGTGACGAAGACATTGCGATACACATAAGAAGTGTTGGGACGACGTGGCCCACGCTATCGACACCTGGAGGTCGCGAACCTTGTGGAGAGTGGAGATAAGTCGTAGTGGTGGCAGGTGGTGAGATCCTAACAGAATTAGAACGCACCACCCGCGCGCGACGTCATGATCATGGCGTATCGTCGTGTCCGTCACACCCAAACGCCTTAGCATGTGACGATGCGAGCGACACCGAAACATGCGCTCCGACTTCTCTCGCGGCGCATTGTTGTTGGGACCGTGAGATGCGCAGGGACTCCCGGGCTCGCGAAATAAGCTTTACCGGCCTTTCAGAGAATTTGAGCCGCAAGTTTGCGCTCGTTCGCCACCAACGCGACCACACCCAAATCCAACACCATGCGACGACCTAGGTAATCTATCCATCGCTATCGTGTTCAACGCATTCCTTTTCAGTGCGCCTCCGCTGCCATGACTCAACCGTGTGATGAACCTAGGCGCTGGTTAATTCTCGATCATCGCCTAAGAGCCATTGCTCCACCCATGCTATCATAGCACTCCAAGCTCAATCCCACGATGCCCCTA